CTTGATCAGTCTTTATTTGAACTCAAACTCGACAGACATTTTGAGTTTAGTATGATTTCTGCCATCTAATTTTGATTAAGGTAGTAAGTCAAGAATCTGAAGGAAAACCATTGGGATGAGCTTGTGGAACTGGTGAAAGTCAGAATCTCCTTTTGGGAGAAAAGTTTTGCTAATATCACAGAGTACGCAAATCAATGATTTCTTCTCCTCCCTGGATGGTGTCAAGAATATGAGAATCAATGCTTAACTTTCCTTTGTCTCTTCAGCTCCTCAGATAGCATCTTGCCATCTGTGGTGTTTTCTTTTCTTTTTTTCTTCTCCTGCTCTCTTCCTGAGACTTTGCACATGATTGGCTAGGTAGATGGTTCCAACCTAGTTGGAATGATCTTATCTAGCAATGATGTGGTCTTTGGTTAGGGTTTCTTGTACTCCCTTATGTACTTATACATTGTTTTCTTCATCAATGAATTCTCTTTTGCTGATCAGAAAGAAAAAAAAAAAAAAGAAAAAAAAAAAAGAAAAAAAAGAAAAAAATAGGGTTGTAAGTCACTCCTCGTGAAGAAAAAGTGGAGAAAGAAAAGAAAAGGTATAGTTAGCAAGTTTAAAATTAGGATTGTTCTTACATCAAGAAAAAAAGAAGAAGATTATTCTTTTATTGGCCAATGGTTTACTTCTTCGATAATTAACTCACTATGATGATTGATAATAGTAATAGTAATGACCAGCAATGTAGGCTCTACTTTATTGATCCCTCAATTACATCCAAATTTCAATTACATGCTCTTGTTGGACAAGAGTTTGTCTCACATTTACTTCTTTGATGTTAGGTGTTGAAATCTTATTTACCCATTAATGTTATTACTTGTACAGTTATACGTATCTCATTTCCTATGATTATTATCTTGTTTCTTATAACACTTTGAAATTAGAAACTTTAAGTAATGCATAGTTAAATTTGAATGTTCAAATTTTTTTAAGAAATATTGAAGTTTAATTATTTAACTTTGAAGTATATTAATTTAAATATTAAATGGAAATAAAGTTTGGTGTGTTTAATTATGCTTTTAACCTTGCGAAATCAACTTTACAGGTTAAATTGACTTCCCTTGAGAAGTTGTCTGTCACTGCAATGGATAATCTAATAGAGATATGGCCTGACGAACTTCAAGCTAAACTAAGAGAGATCAGAGTTCAATGGTGTCATGGGTTTTTGAATATTCTTTTTCCATCTAATTTGATTAAGGGCATGCAAAGTCTTGAACTACTTGAAGTGAAACAGTGTCGATCTGTGAAAGTATTATTTGACCTTGAAGGACTAATTACTAGGGAAGGCCATCCAGATACACTATTGCATTCATTAACAAATATGAACCTACGACATCTACCAAAGTTGACACATGTTTGGAAAGACAATTTACCAGGAATTCAAGGTTTACAAAACCTAACATCCCTATTAATTAAAGGTTGTGGCAGTTTGAGATATATATTCTCAGTTTCTCTAGCCAAACTTCTGGGGAAACTACAGGAAATAGAGGTAATTGAATGTGGTGTGATGGAAGCGATCATTGATGAGGAACCAGAAGTAGGTTATGATGTCACAACAAATATTTGCATATTCCCTCGACTAAGGAGTCTCAAGCTCTGTGATCTGCCAAACCTTAGGAGTTTGTGCCTTCAGGCTTCCACGTTTGAAGGAACATTGTTGAAGATCGTGAAAGTAATCAATTGTCCCAACTTGAAGGAACTACCTTCAGCATTCCAATGCCTGCAAGAGTTACGGAGGAGCAATGTTCAAAAAGAGGAATTTTTTAACTCAGCTCAACACCATTTCTTGGATGGAAAGGTAAATTAGTTTTCTTAAACTTATGACATTCACCATTAATAATCCATTCCTTGAAAGAAACTGTTTTCAAGATCCATTGAACTAAGGATGAACGTCTACATGTTGAAGGGAAAGAATTTTTCGGTAAACAAAATCGTAGAGTAAGCTATTTATTACCAATGTGGTCCAAGATTTTACATAAAATTTTTCACTGTAATGATGATGATGACACTTATCTAAAAGAAATTATGATGATGACATTTTTTAATTAAATGTTATCTTAATGAGAAATGCTATGTATTTCAAATATTCTACTAAATATTCTACCAAACCTCTTACATGGGGTGAAACTCACACAAATCCAAATGTATGTGGGTCCCACACCTATGTGCGAGATTTGGTAGAATATTTGGGGTCCCTAGCATAACTCTATCTTAATAGGTACACTGTTCAAAAATGATAAAACTGATACAACCACATCATTCTATATATAAATTTCATATACTTTTTCTATTTATATATCTTTGTTTTATTTTGTTTTGTTTGGCAATTGTGTCCAAATCCCAAATAAAACGGGGGTTAAAATTGATTGTGTTGAGTTCAGTTTAATTAGAGTAATGCTAGTCGGCAATCTTCATACCCAGATATAAAATAGAGTAAATTCTCCAATTGTGTGTGATATTGTTTGTTATGTGAACTGTTAGAATTGCAGACATATTTCAAAATACAAATCTGTTTGGTTTCAAATAGTTTCATTAATTATATGATTTAATATTGGGCCAATTACCCTAACAGTCCGTATAGTTTGGGACTCATGTCACTTTGGTCCTGACTTTTCAATTGTGACACATTTGACCCTCCATTTTAAATCTTATTTCAAATAAGAAAAATTGAAGATACCATTGCTTAATTTCAAGGGCAAAATTGTTAATTTGATAATTGACAAAAATAAACGTAAAAAAAAATATTTTTAAATTTTTAAAAATTATTTGTACCCACCAAAAATAAAATTATATAAAATTGATAAATTTTTGAGACATTTATTTATTTATTTATTTTACTAAATTAATTTTTGTTACGTGTTTAGATGATGATCATGCAATGGGTGATTGTTAAGATTTTAATGTGTAATCGATATATTTAATATATGAAATGTTTTTAATTTTGGATTTTTTGATTTAATGGATTGGTTTAATAATAATATTAAAGTTGTCGCTATATTTGACTTTTACAAAAATAGAAACTAATTTCATGAAAATAAAAACAACCACCCATTACATGATCATCATCTAAACACATAATAAAAATTAATTTGGTAAATAAATAAATAAATAAATGTCTAAAAGATTTATTAATTTTTCATAATTTTATCTTTAGTGAGAGAAATAATTTTTGAAAATTTAAAAATATTTTTTTTGACATTTATTTTTGTCAAGTTAGTTTATATTTTATCAAATTGACAATTTTGCCCTTGAAATTAAGTAATGGTATCTTCAATTATCCTTATTTGGAACAAGATTCAAAAGTTAGGATCAAATGCGTCACAATTTAAAAGTCAGGGACCAAAGTGACACAAGACCCAAGCTATAGGACCGTTAGTATAATTCACCCTATAATATTATATTATGTATTCATTACCTATTTATTCTTTATAACCGCTTGCCTACGTTGTGTATCAAGTGGACATTGAATTTGAATGCTTTAACCGTTGGGTCCAAATTGGTGTGGAACCTTTCTATAAATATTAAAATCACATTGAACATGTTTTCGTTTGTATTGTTACAAATAGCTTTTGTTAAAAGAACATCTATATATATGTGTTCGTGTGTGTGTGCGCATAATTCTAATAGGAGACATGAAATCCCCAAAAAAATTCTAATATTTTATCAATTCTGTACTATTCTTCCATCAACTGGCCATTTCAAAGATCATAAATATTTCCTATGTATATATTATTTTCTTTGATTTTTATGATAGTGAAACGAGCTATTTTTTGGGCCTCTACATTGCTTGTGCACATTTGTGGGAAAGCAATAGCTGAATCTTGGAGGATAAGACATCATTAACTTGGTGAACCAGGTGACGCACTCTGTGGGGGCAGAGCCTACTCCTTAGAATAGCGATTGACATGCCTTTGTTGATAAATATTTGTTACGATCATATTTTATGTATTTGCATTGCACCTCTATAAATAATTTTCGTTATTGTTATACAAAATTATTTATTTTCTGATTATTTTTAACATGGACAGCTACCAAGAAAAAGAAAAATGTTGAAGAAAAAATAGTAGAAGAAATATTTCAACATCATATTATTAGGTTTTCACCAAATATGCCAAAGTAAATTTGTTGATTTTCTAGTTAAGGACATGTAGGTTGGCAGAGATTTCATGAAATATCAAACTACATATTCATTTAATTCAATTATATGGTGGAGATCGTATCCATTGTTGGTATTCTTACATTATTCTAGTATTTACTAGAGACCTGCACAAGGGGTTAATAGTGTAAATGGAGCTTCTGTATTTTTACGTTTTTCATCTTTTATTATTTCCAATGGTTTCGATTTTTGTTGCACATATCACAATATGAGTTTTATTTGTTTTATTTTATTGCCACATTGGTCTAAGTTAACATGTGGTTTTAAAGTCATGTTTGTCTTATTCAGTGATTCATAATTTTTCAACTTTTATTATTTCCAATGGTTTTGAATTTTGTTGAACATATCACAATATGAGTTTTGTTTTATTTTATTTTATTGCCACATTGGTCTTAGTTAAGGTGTGGTTTTAAAGTCGGTTTGTTTTATTCAGTAATTTGTAAATATGTTACTAACACAAGTGATTGCAATTGCAGTTTAGTTTAAACAGCAAGGGGAAACTTACTGTCACGGGAATAGATGAGCCAACTGAGATATGGCACAATCAACTTGGAGTCGGGTGCCTTCACAAAGTAAGAGCCATGTGGGTCCAGTGCTGTAGGACATTATTCAGTGTTGTTTCGTCTAATTTAATACAAAGATTACACGAAGTTGAAGAGCTAAAGGTATGGTGGTGTGATTCCTTGGAAATGATATTTGACCTCAAAGAGGAGGTATGTGTTGCTGTTGGTGACGAAGGAACATCAATCACTCAGTTAAGCAAATTGGAAGTGAAGTATTTGCCCAAGCTGACGCATATATGGAATTGTTTTCCCCAACAAACTTATTGTTTCAGAAATCTAAGTTATCTAAAAGTGAAGAATTGTGACAACTTGAAATATATATTCACAATTTCCATGGCCAAAGTCCTCGTGAATCTAAAAGATCTAATAATTAGACATTGCAAGAAGGTAGAAAAGATTGTCACCAGGGAAAACGAAGAAGAAGAAATCCATTTGCCCCAATTTCGCCGTGTCGTACTTCATGATCTTCCAAGTCTTGTGTGTTTCGGCCCTAACATAAATGATACTCAAATTCCAGCCGATCAATGCCATCACCGTTTTCTCCCAAATTTCCAGGTAAAACTCCAATTATAGATTTCCAAGTTTTCAACAAACTCAAGAAGACAACTTCACCGATCAATTTTTTAGCTGTTTTACATCTTACAACTAAGAAAATGGTAGTCATGGTAAATGACTACAGACCATGACTATATGACAATTGCCACATTACTCATGAACATGGTTAACTATAGGGATAATTACAATTAGGTGCACATAAGTTTGTAAATTGACAATTGAGGTAATCCTAAAAATGATATTAATACAAAGAAAAATATCTTAGGCTGACTTATTGGCCGAAGCCCACTTATGTGTCACATGAGCCGCAGTGAATGAATTGGCCCACAAATTATGTTAGAATGAATTGCTCATACCTTTTCGACTTTAGTAGCATTGCTAATAATGTTAACTTGCAAAATAATTTTGTTCGTAAGACTTGAGGGTTATAGCCTCTATGTTTCTAGTTCAACTCTTGGCAAAATCAAGCCTCTTGCTTTCCACCTGGTAATGAGGAGTGATGTTCTTCTTCTTTCCTTTTTTTTTTTTTGGTTGTTGTTGTTGGTCAATTTAGTCCTTCTTGTTCTAATTAAATCAATTTCACTCTTAATTTATTTATTTTTTTTCCACGTTGTGTCAATTTAGGCTAATTGATAATGCCCTATTAGAAAATTGACTAAAATCAAGAGAAAAAATAGTTCATTCACGTTCTCCAAAGTGATTGAGGGGTTGACATCTAATTTGAATTGATCCATTTCTTTTGAATGAATTATTTTGCCATTGATTTATGTATAAATTACAATTTCTTAACGGATGTTGTCAATTGGGTTGAATTGACACAATGTGAAGAATGAAGGGGTAAAATTGATAACAATTAGAATTATAGAGATCAAATTAATACAAAATGCAAATTACAGAGACCTTTTATGAGGCTAGAACCAGTCAAAAGGGTGAAATAAGGTAGTACACACAGCATCTGCCTCATTAGCAACCATGGTGTCTCCAAGAGCTACCTATCATTAGGAAACAATATCCTTAAGGAACAACTGATTTTTGTAATAGTGAGCTGTGTATTTAAGAATTAATAGCATATTTATATCCTTAAGATATGTTCCACGCCACCAGCATTTGTCTACGCCTATTTTTTTTTTAAAGATATGAGAATACACAATTATTGGAGAAATGATTGTTACTAATGTGATGTTTTTTTTTCATCATTATCTCAGGTATATGTTCTTAGTAGTTTATCAATGATAAACAATAGACGATTACTATTGACATTGTAGTTTGCATGGCTAAGGTTATTATTTTACAAACAACTGCTTTTTTGTAAAAACCAAGTTATGTATAGAATTATTTTTGGATAGATTAATAATTAAAATAAATTGTATGGGTAATTTAGTAATTTTAACAATTAGGTTATCGACCCTTTAAAAAAAAAGAAAAAAAAAGAGGGAGTTTTCATGTTATGTTGTTGTATCATAATTTTACAGATGGTTCAAGTGAGGCTGTGATAGGAATTGAGGGCAGTACGTTGGGGATATTCTGATACAACCATTGACTGAGGTAAGATCCTTCTTGTATCACTAGTTATTAATTTTCTATTGATAAATAAAAAACAATCGAAACTTTATGTAAACCTGTATGTGCCTACTTGATTTTGAGAGCTTGGTGAATGGTGCAATGTGTGGAGTGTAGTCAGGTAAAGAGTAGAAACAGTGGAGCAATTTGTGTGGGTGTGGTTTGACATTTGAGTTTTGTACATTGGGTAAGGTGTGTTTGGCTATTAAATTGGGTGGATTGATTTGGTGTCTCTTGGATTTTAAGCACTGCATATATATATTGGGTTCTTGTTGATGTGTGAAAGACATCAAAATATTAATTTATTTGAGGTTCTATTTATTAGGTTTGTGTGATTGAAATGGTAGAGCTGGGTGTTTGGAGTTTGTGTGTGGAATATTATTTTAGCTGTTTGAGGTAAGTAATCGTCTGTCACTATTGGTTTATTTTTATTTCCATTGAATCGTTTGAAATTATAAATGTTTATTTATAACCGTTCTGTACTCTTAAAATAAAATATGGGTCAGGTATAAAATAACATCGAATTTTATTATGAAAATAGTGAATATTTTATTTACAAGTTGTTTATTGTTTAAATTTTGAATATCACTCTAGTCTGACTATGATTTGGACCCTAACCAATGGGGGTTATTTATTGGCGTAGAAACTAGTTTCTTTTAGGGATTTACCACCGGCCTATGTGTGGTTTTGGGCTTTGTCATGAGCTAAGTGACCATAGTCACAAAGACTTGAGTTTTGTGAATCGAATCATTGAACTGTCTGAATATCGAACCATCGATTTTAACAACAAAACTACTTTGAATTATCTCATTATCTTTTCAATTAAATTGTATTGCTACATTGTTTATTTTCAGTTATGAAACCATCTTACAAAATATTGGTTCATTTGTTGAACTACAACAAAAATATATTTATTGGTTTTCGACTATTTTTTTTTTGTACACTTGATCCAGTTAGCAGTGATCGTTGGTTATTTGTTGGGCTGTCTAGCTTACCCTTATTTTGTTATTTTGAGATCCTGAGGAGTAGAGCTGCGCAAGTTTTTACTTACGGGAGTGCCGAGAGTAGGACTATGATTTTAAATTACTTTGGGTTACTAGTTTGTTAATGAATTATATTAGTGGACTTGGTGGATAATTTCATATGACAAGGATTGTTTATTATTTATGGATTTTGGCATTATAATAATTAAAGATCAATTTGAGTATTTTATATTGTTGGTTTATTTGATTGGATTCCTAGCCTTGCATGCTCATTTAGATGAGTGTGTGCCGTTGTCACGGCGTTTGGGCCGTGACATTTTTACTTCAAAAACATTGTGAAATGTTAACATTACTTTTTCTTTAATTATTGCATAGATTACGACATAGGCTATGGCAATGGGGATGGCAATGGAGTTAGAGATAGCCAATGATAATGACAATGACGATGACTATTAGCGATGCTGTTTAGATTGCCAACTCTTCAAAGAAAAGGTATATATATTTTAGGATAAAATCCACTTTATCTCCTTGTGGTATGACCTTAAAGCACTTTGATTTTGCACAAAGTTTAGCACACCTAATTAGCTAGTAACCAAATTTTGCTATATTGATTTAAATTTATTTTGAGCCAATGAAAACTCTTAAACCCAAAATCCTCTAATTTTAGTAGATTAGGCTTTCAAGAGTATAATGGGCACAACTTGCTATTCCTAAGTTTCCCTAATTCTCTCCCTTCCAATTCCTACCCAACCAACCCAGCAAGCTTCGACCTTTACTTATAGGGGGCAGTACAGAAGATTTGTCCACTCAACAAAGTTGAGCTTTTCAATTCACTCTCCCTTATGTGGGAACCCTCTTACCAATATGTTTCCTTTACGAATGAAAATTCTAATTAAATGACTCACATATGAATGAATTAGTGTCTTACTGGCCATCTTATTTATTTAACCAACACTAGACCTGATTTGACATTTGCGGTTAGTGTTGTGAGTCAATTTATGTAGGTACCTTGTTAGAGCATCTTGATGCTATTCACCACATTTTGCGGTATCTGACGACTTCTCTTGGATTGGGACTATTCTTCACAGCTGGTTCTCAATTCGAGCTCTTCTATTTTATCGATGCTAACTTTGCAAGATGTAGAATTGATCGGTGTTCCACGTCTAGTTTATGTACTTTCTATGGTGATCATCTTATATCATGGAAAAGCAAGAAACAGGTGATTGTTTCTAGATCTTCTGCAAAGGTTGAGTATCGGACTATGACACAAAGTACATGTGAGATTCTATGACTTCGGTCTATTTATACAAAGACTTTTTTTTTTCTTCCCTTCATCCTTATCTCAAATCTATTTGGTTGTAATTAATGTTTGAAATAACATAAGCATGACGGCTGTGGCTGTTTACTTGAATTTCTCTCTCTCACACACACCCATATATTTGGGGTTGAACTTGGCATGTGCATGTGCAATTTTATGATGGAGATTCAAAATGTTGTTGGAATAATTGTAAAGGACATGGTTAATTAAATTAGAAGAAAAAAAAGGGTACTGACTGAGTAAACAACCTAAACAAACATATATATATATATATATATATATATTTTTCTTTAATCATATTTTACTATTTTAAGAGCATGCTCTGTGTTGACATATTCAAATATTTTGTTCCCAAATAATGGGAGAATTTAAACGTTATTCTTATTTTGGTTTTGTTTTCTGATGTCACTTCAAAAATAATATCAGAAATGTACAAGTATCCTAAATAGTCTACTATACTATACAACCAGTAATGAGAATCCTTCTCCTTGTATGTTGTTTTTTCTATAGCTCACTATTCTGTGGGGACTCATGATGAGTTCCAATGCAGTGGTATGCCAACTGACCAGCTGTTATTAATTTGTGCAATGTAAGCTTTGAGAATGGTAAATGTTGTGATTTTGAGTGTTTATTAAAGGTATTGTTTTAAGGTAAATGTTTTTTGAAGTTTCAAATTTCTTTTTTGCAATAACTAGTAGTAGCTAGATGATCTCTGATTTGGAAATTACCAACTCCAACTTTTGTATATATATATAAACCAATCTGGGTTGTGACAGCCTTATGTTTTTAGCACGAGTGTAGAAAAAGCTAACTATAAAAAGGCTGACATCAATTGGTGTCTTGAAATCGAAGGAATTTTTATTTCATAAAAAGACCAGAAATTTAAAGAGAATCATGCTAGAATTTATATAATTTAAATTTCGTCTGATCAATACCTAGATCACTCAACAATAACTTGATCCATAAGAGCTCACACACCCCTTGTGCCATAGCTCTAAACTCAGCTTCTACACTTGACTTGGCAATCACATTCTGTTTCTTACTCCTCCAAGTAACTAGGTTGCGTCCAACAAAGTTGCAATACCCTGAAGTCGATCTCCTATCAGTTATTGATCCAGCCCAGTCAGCATCTGTATAGGCTTTCACACGAAGATGATCATGCTTTGAAAAATAAGAACCCTTACCAGGAGCAGACTTCAAGTACCTCAAAATTCTTATGACAGCCTCGAAGTGAATCTGATGAGGAGCATGCATAAACTAGCTAACCACACTGATAACAATAGTAATATCAGGATAGGAGTGGGATAGGTAGGTAAGCTTACCCACTAAACGCTAATAGTTCCTCCTATCAACAGCTACTCCTTCATCATTCCCTAGTTTCTGATTGGGTTCCAGTGGAGTGTCACATGCCTTGCAGCCAAGCATCCCAGTTTCCTTCAATAGGTCAAGCACATACTTCCTCTGTGAGATAAATATCCCATTCTTGGAGCGAGCAACTTCAATTTTCAGAAAATACTTCAAGCTCCCCAAGTCTTTGATTTCAAACTCATTTGCTAAATATTTCTTCAACAGAGGTATTTCCTCACTATCATCACCTGTAAGAGCTATGTCATCCACATAAACAATGAGCACTGTAGTCTTATCACGCGAGAAATCTTTCACTAACTAGGTGTGATCTGTTTGAAGCCATATTTAAGCATAGCCTGAGTGAATCTCTCAAACCAAGCCCTTGGAGACTGTTTGAGACCATATAATGACTTCCGAAGTTGACATACTTTACTCTCTGTCTGATAATCTTTAAAACTAAGAGGAATGTCCATATATACCTCTTCTTCGAGGTCACCATGGAGAAAGGCATTCTTTACATCAAACTGATGAAGTAGCCAATCTAGATTAGCTGCTAAAGAGAGAAGTACTCTAACTGAATTCATCTTAGCCATGGGTGCAAAGGTCTCCTGATAGTCAACGCCATATGTCTGAGTGAACACTTTTGCCACAAGTCTAGCCTTGTTATGCTCAATAGAACCATTCGCTTTGTGTTTCATAGTATACACCCATTTGCATCCCACATGTCGTTTGCCTTTAGGTAACTCAGTCAATTCCCAAGTGCCATTCTTCCTAAGTTCTTTCATTTCCTCAATCATGGCAAGTTTCCACTCAGAGGTAGCAAAAGCATCCTGAAAATGGTTAGGAATGTTAACAGAGGAAATATTTGACACAAAAGCTCTATATGAGGACGACAAATGGGAGTAGGATACAAAATTTGAGATAGGATGTTGAGTACAAGATCTCACACCCTTTCTCTTGGCAATAGGAACATCAAAATCAATAGGAGTATCAAAATCAATGGACTCAAGAGATTCAAAGTTACCTAAACTCTCATCAGAAGTAGGAGATGACAGTGAGTGAGTAGAAGTGGTCCCTTGTATTTAGTTAACTTTCTGTCTGTCTTTGTCTCTAACATAAACTTGCCTTTCCCTATCCTTAGTGATATTGGGTTTTGTAGTCCTAGTAAGAGGTGATGGTGCAAGAACAACTTGTTCCACCATAGGAATCACAAGAAACACTTCACATCAAGGCTCTCCCTGAAGGAGGACTGTGACATCGGAGATGACAAGAAATAGGAGTGGGACTCAAAAAAGGTGACATCTATGGACACAAACCACTTACGAGAAGGATGGTGATAACACTTATACTCTTTTTGAGTAGGAGAGTACCCAAGGAAAACACATTTGAGGGAGCGAGGGTCTAACTTACCACGAGTAGGAGAGTGATTGTGGACGAAACAGACACGACCAAATATTTTGAGGGGAATAGAAAACAAGGACTCGAAACCTAGGAAGACTTGAAGGGGAGTTTGTTTTTGCAAGACCTGGGTAGGAAGACGATTAATAAGATGGGCAACGGTGAGAATAGTGTCGCCCTAGTAGGACCGATGCACACTCAGAGAAAAACACACACACCGAGCCATGTCAAGAAGATGACGATTCTTGCATTCTGTCACCCCATTTTGTTGAGGGGTATTAGTACAAGAGGTCTGATGGATAATGCCATAGGCAGAAAAATATTGCCCTAACCCAGAATCTATGTATTACCCCCCTCTCCCAATTATCAGAACCGAAGATTTTGACGGTGGCCCCAAATTGAGTACAAATCATCTTATGAAAATTGCGAAACACAGAGAAAACTTCACTCTTGTCTTTCATGAGATACACCCAAGTAATAAGAGAAAAATTATCAATAAATGTAACAAACCATCGATGACCTTTCACAGACATAACACAAGATGGACCCTAGACATCAGAATATATTAATGAAAAAGGAACTAAACGTTTATTAAAACGGGGAGCAAAACAAGCTCTTTGTTGTTTTCCAAATTGACAAGACTCACAAAGAAACTCAGACACATTATTATTTGTAAAAATAGATAGAAATAAATGCTTAAGTAAATAAAAAGAAGGATGCCCAAGACGCTGATGCCACAACCATAAATCATCTCTGGTAATAGGACTGTGGTGGAAGAATGAGCAAGCTTGTCCGGTTGATCCAGGAAGTAGAGACCATTTTCAGCACTATCACTGCCAATCGTCCTCCTCGTGACAAAGTCATGAAAAAGACAGTGATCAGGAAAAAAAAGTCACACTACAATTCAAATCCTTTGTAATACAACTCAATGATAACATGCTAACAGAAAAATTGGAAACATGGAGAACAGAAGATAGAGGTATGGTAGGAGTGACACGGACTAAACCTTTCTAAAATATAAAAGAAACAGTACCATCTGCAATCCTAACTTTGTCTTGGCCTGGAGAGGGCTTATAGGCAGAGAAAATGTCAGAGGATCTAGACATATGATTTGAGGTACTAGAATCAATAATCTAGGGCAAAGACTTATGAGAGAGGAAAACACGAGGAGAATAGGCTAAGTTACCTGAGCGGGCAAACGATGAGGAAGATGTATTGAGAGCAGTAGAAGACCGGCGGTCTAACAAGTGACGCAGAACATCCTCAAGCTCATGAGTAGTCATGTTAGAGAGACCATCAGAAGCCTGGCCAATGGAAGTGGAAGTAGAATCAAGTGTATCAACTGCAGTAGATTGATGAGCCTGTGGATGAGAGCCACGTCCTTTAGACTAACCTGACCGACCTCCTCTAGAACCACACTGATCACCTCGACCCTCGGATGGAGTCCTATGAAGCTTCCAACACACCTCACGAGTATGCCGCGACTTGCGGCAGTAATCACAGAATACAGACTCCTTGGCGGTAGACAAAGGGATGGGAGTCAGGCTGAGGCCATCTCTAGGGGTAGACAGTAACGCGGAGCGGTCAGTAGAGACAGGTGACATCATAGCAGACCGGTGACTCTCCTCATTCTGTATATAGGCGAATGCCTCATGAAGTGAAGGAAGAGTGTCCATACCCAGAACCCGACTTCGAACCGGATTATACTCCATACTGACACCTGCCAGAAACTTGAAGACAATTTCTTGTGCAATGAACTTCCTGTACCCGACTAAATCAGCAGTGCAAACAGGCTTATAGTCCTGCAGGTGATCAAGGTGTTTCCAGCTGTTAGTGAGGAAGGTGAAGTATTGAAGAATAGTCTGCTCCCCCTGAACAGAGCTCTTAATAGAGCGGCACAACTCAAATGC